CATGTACACACTATTATTTCAGAATTTCTTAAACAACTGATTTATAGAAAAGATACAAAAATGTTAAAAAGTAAATTTTAGAAAAAATTGATTAGTAGGATTACAAATATTTTCTTCTTGCTTACACATTAAATATATTTTTAATATACTAATATAAATAAATATGACACAACTTTTTTTTAAAGATTTATTTTTTTATTATTTTCTCATTGGAAAGGCGGATATACAGAGAGGAGAGACAGAGAGGAAGATCTTCCATCCAGTGATTCACTCCCCAAGTGAGCGCAACGGTCGATGCTAGGCCGATCCAAAGCCAGGAGCCTCTTCCAGGTCTCCCACGCGGGTGCAGGGTCCCAAAGCTTTGGGCTGTCCTCTGCTGCTTTCCCGGGCCACAGGCAGGGAGCTGGAAGGGAAGCAGGGCTGCCAGGATTAGAACCGGCGCCCATATGGGATCGCGGGCGTGAAGGTGAGGACCTTAACCACTTGCGCCACTGCGCCGGGCCTGAAACAACATTTTTAAAAATTTTGTTTTATGACACAGTTTGATAGGCTCTGGGATTCCCCCAACCCCTCCCCAAACCCTCCCCCCATGCTGGATTCCTTCACATCGCTGCTGTGGCACAATTCATATCCACTCATAGTTCCTTCCTTGCGGGCATGTACCATGCATAGAGTCCAGCGTTCCACTGTCCAGATCAACTCAACAGTTTCATTGGGAGACCATCCCCACATATCTGCATTAGACACAACATTTTAAAAACATCTTCACAGGGAAGAAACTGTGACTAATTTGTTCACTGCCACAGAAAAACAAAAGTAGGTTTTTCCTGAACAGTAGGGTAGAGAATTGGAAAAATGCTCATCTTGATTGTAAGTTTTCTCCCTTTTCCCTGGTCCTTGTCCCAGATAAAAACAGGAAAAAAAAAAAAAAGCTGACTCTATTTATCTCATTATGCTCACTCAATGTTGACACTCCTTGTGAGGAAATTGCACACGCAGGTCAGGGCCAATCAGCCTGTACCCTCTTCAGCACTCATTTCCTGCCAGTCGCCTCTCTGGGTAGCTGGCAAATCCATGTCTTACATGTGTCTCTGCAAAAGCCCTGGCTTTTGCTTGAGCAAAGAACAGGACAGGTGGGGAAAGCCTGAGACCAAGGCTTATCCAGGATCTAAGAGTAAGAACCCTTGAAAACCATCAGGGTGTTTTACATTTATCCTTACTATAATAATTGAGAGTAACAATCACCATTTCTTGGATGCTTTCTAATTGCCAGGCACGTACAAGATAATCCTTTTTGATTTTTATGTTGCTTGTTTAGATATTTTGCCTATTTCACGGAAGAGACACTGAGGCTGAGGTCAAATTGAAGAACCTAGACGTTTTCTGCCTTTGTAATTCCTGCCTTAATTGCTTGGCTGGGGGCTATTGAACTCCAAGCCTGATAGCCTACGTGACACCCGGCAGGACACCTGGCAGGTCACACAGGCAGACAACTCCTCAGGAAGGAGGAACCTGGTGTTTGATACGATCCACTGCCCTATAGCTCATCGATTTGTACTTTTTGAAAGTTGCTTGCTTTAAATTCACCAATAGAAGCCTGCTAAATCATGACTGTATAATTAATAGACTAAAATGTATAAGAACCACTGGGCTGTTCAACCGGGGAGGTTCCGGTTCACTCTCTCATTCTTTTTTGCCTTTCTTGTGGATCCTGCAGCAGCCATGGCTGCAGCTGCCCCTCCCCTGCTGGGCTGGGGGAGGTGGCTGGGAAACCTAGGCTAACCTGAATAAACCACCTTTATGCCTTGGCACTGACTTCAGACTTGATGATTTTCTGGGGATTTCAAAATCTGGCACAACAAAATAATTTGCAGAAGTTCCAGGGTTAGAAAGTGCCAGACAAAAATTGCTTCAGCCTCCCATTACTCTTCACACATTTATGAAGAACAGGATTGTAAATTTTAACTTTTGACACAAAAGCACAAGTAGCCTGATGGTTCCTATTCAGTCTGAATGCTGATATGTTAAGAGATTTACAGGTTTTAAATTTCAGTAAAGAGAGTACTGTGCTTAACAGGTGAATGGTGGTGGGCAAATTACAATTAGATTATGGGAGGCAGATTTTCCTCCGACCTTGAAGAAAGTAGGGTGTGTAGGAGATTTGAGACTGGCAATAAAGCACAGCTTCTGAGATGTTCTGGCAGAGTTTGAACAAAGATGGTTCTACACATGGGAAATAGCACCATCTGGCTTTGGGGTTGGTGCAGGGAGGGAGCCAATGGTTTTGCCAGACCAGAAAAAGAGAATATTCTAGATTAGTGGATGATGTCTTGATGCTTGGTGGACCAGCTCAGCCTTACATGGAGAACCCTAAAGGATATATATACATAGCTGGGAAGTATTTTGACCAAGAGTTGTATGTACCATTAATCAGTATTTGATTCAGATCACAAATAAAGCAATTTCAAATTAATCCTTAAACTATGATATTGACTTTTCAACATATATACATATATTTAAGATTCATTTATTTAGATTGGAAAGACAGATTTACAGAGAACAGACAGAAAGATCTTTCATCTGCTAGCTCACCAAGTGGCCGCAACAGCTGAGTTGAGCCAATCCAAAGCCAGGAGCCAGGAGTTTCTGGGTTTCCCACGTGGGTGCACAGTCCCAAGGAATTTGTGCCATCCTCTGCTGTCTTCCCAGGCCACAGCAGGGAGTTGGATGGAAAGTGGAACAGCAGGGACATGAACCAGCAGCCATAACTGCATGCTTGACTGGGGAGGATCAGTTAATTGTGCTTGGCTAGACTTTTTGACACTCAATGCTGAAAACAGAAAGACAGAAACAATGTTTACAACAACTTATTACTTTCACATTTCTGGTTTTGTATGATAATGGAACTATACCAAAAGCAGTTTGAGAAAATTAACTGAGCCAGTTATTTTCAGTTTCACAATGTCCATAATATATATTGTATCAGAACTTTGTGAAAGTTAATTTTAAAATTAATAATTGTTTTCATATTTTTGGGGGGGGGAGAGGCTAATAATCAGGCAACAAGAAACACCTTCCTGGAGTTATGACATGGTAACTTTGAGTCCTAGTCCAGTTCTGCTCACAACCAGCTGAGCAAATCGTGGAAGCTTCAATTCTTTTACCTGAACAACAAAGAGCTAAAATTTACTTTCTAAGGCCCTGCCAAGTTGTGTCTCATTATTTGGACTTCATCTTCACCTTCAACAGGTTTATGATTGATTATCTTTGAGAGTCATGATCACATTATTTAAAGGCTTCTCAGTTAACTGAACAGACCAGAGCACAGGGTCCAGGATATGATATTGTTCCATACACCTATTTAAAACAGTTTGCTTTGGATCAAAACAGCTCCTGTAATTTTGTTAGCCTTTCTTGGTATGTATTTTATAAAGACATGCTTGTTCCTATCTAAAATTTGCTTTAAAACATTTATTTATTAATAGAATCACTGGTAAAATTGCTTTCCCCCTATTTCAAAAACCACTTATTCAAAAATCAGATACTCTGGTGAATGATTCTAAAAGGCAATAGAAAGGTGTGTGTATCAAGTTAGCTTTCTGCGGGTCTCCACAGAGCAGGTGAACCAGACCCAATGAGCAAGCTCCCTGCAGTCCAGAAGAAATTCCCTAAGTGATAATCCACATGGCCTCTGCCTCTGGTGAGCGGCTGGCCTACAGACTGGATGGCCAGTAGTCTCAGGAGGCAGCTTTGCTATAGCTCTGTACAAACGCACTCTCCTATTGTCTTCTTCTCCAAAGGAGAAAAGAAGAGCAAGTAGTTAAGCCGGTAGGATTTAAAAACTGAATTCCTGAGTCAACACAGAAAGTGGCCTCCTCTGGCTGTTTTGATGTAAAGTCCTGCAAGTTAAGACCCTGTCTGTGGGGAAGAGGTGACGGAGGAGGAGTCAAAGTCTGTGATCTGAAATCCTTGTGAGCTGTCTGGCTCTAAACTATAGAGCTTGCTACGAACTATTATATTGGCAGTGCTGTGGAGTCAAAATGTGGGAAGGCTTTTTTTTTTTTTTCCCAAACAAACACACCTATTATCAGTCTGAGGAATGCTTGCCGGTTGCAAACTTACTGGACTTGTTAACGAGGATGCAACAGGACAATCACAAGGGAAGGCAGTTAAAGGGGGGCAGGGCAGATCTAGAGATCAAGACCAGGAGCTTCCCGTGTAGTCAGGCAAACACGCCATTCCGCCTCTCTCTCTCTCTCCCCCACGAGTTCTGACACACACACACACGCTTCGGAGACTGTGTGGGTGTTCCAGTCGGCCGAGAAGATTACGTGGCTTCGTGCCAGCTCACGGGCATTTTCGCAGGTCTCCTGTTCGGTAACCATAGTTCTCCTCAGGCTGACCCAGCCTCCCTCCGGCCAAGCAGGGGTGCCTTCCCTGTCTGAAACGCTGTCAGGGAGCCGTCCCGGGACAATCCCCGTAACGCAGCAAAGTCAGGATGACTTAGCCTTGGACACCGAGCGCAATCAGTTTTCGTCCGAATCACGGCCTAAGATTTGAAATGAGCATCCGTGCAGAAAGGAGCTTTCTTCTGCTGCGACGTGCTGGCTTCACGCCCACGTACTTAGTCCATAATTTGTCCATGACTAAAAGAAACGTAACGTACTCTGTTCTCAGACTCCCCTCGGCATCTTTCGTGACCGACAGGTGTTTCTTTTCTGATGTGAAACGCTTTCCAGAGATTCACGCAGCTAAGAAACTCCCTGGACTTCAGTTTATTCCATCACCCCAGCGACCCTCCCGGGCTTGTTTTCCTACTTCCTTAAGTCAGCCCACCGGCGTCGAAGCCCTCCTATGACTGGTCTGGACGTGTGCTTATCTCCGCAGTTAGCCTATCAGAGCCTCCCTTCTTTCCCTGGCGAGCTAGGAAACGGAAAGACCTCGACGGTCGGGGTGGGGTCGGGCGGAGCCAAACGTGAGTGACAATTATTTCCTCCAATAGGCTGGGCGATAGGGGTAGCGGCTTCTGGCTCTGGGGCTAGAAAAGAGCTTCGATGCCGGCGGCAGCGATGAAGTCTAGAAGCCGGCTGAGTAGAGGCTGCTGCTGGTGGGCTCTTTGCAGGTGAGAGGTTTTGTTTTGGAGTACTGCGGCCGCGAACGTTTCCATTTTCAGCTGTTAGAGTGTCTGGTTTACGGATGCGGGGGAGGCCAGTTCCCTCCACTCCCTCATTCTCTGGGGCAGAGGCGCCGGCCGCAGAATTCCCCTCCGAGCCGCGCCGCACGTCCTCACCAGGTGCGTGTAGGATCCGGTCGCGGTGTGTTGACTGAGAGGAGCGAGTCGTGGTGCCGTGACAGCAAGAATACATCGAAGTTGACGGTGCCGCAGCACTGTCTAATGGACAGCTGAGGCTCCGGGCTGCACAGCCTCCTGCAGTAAGGAGGGCCCCCTGGAAGGAGACTGGCGTGCGCCGCTGTGTTTAGGGCCAAGGCAGCCGTGGCCTGAATGTCAGTAAAGAAGGGCATGAATATATCCAGAGATTTCAGGTGGCACTGGGATCTGGAGCCAAAACACAAGTTCTTAGAACCACCACAGTGTTTTTGTTTGTTTGTTTGTTTGTTATAAGGGTATTTCTCTCTTTTGCAAGGCCCAGGGGCCTGGAACAGACTGAATGTCTCAGAAGTGTTTTGGACCATATATGCTTTGGATCTGGGAATATTTGTATTTATAATGAGATAATCTTGGGGACAGGACCTGAATGAAAAGATTAATTCATTTGTGTTCCATATATACTTTATTTGCACCAGCTAAATGTGTTTCTTTAATCGTTTTGTATGTGAAATGAAGTTTTGTATTGTGGAATTTTCCACTTGTGCCATGTCGGTGCTCAAAAAGTTTCAGATGTTGGAGTAATTTGAGGTTTTCGCGTATGGATTAGGGATGCTCCAGGTCTTAACCTAAAGGAGATCAATAAAAATGTATGGCTGAAGTTAAGTTCACACTTAGTCAAGGATAATTAATGGGCAAATGCTTCCCGTTTCCCAGTTGTGGAGGCTTTATGGTTGTTGCTGATACTGCAAGGCTAACTTGAATGGTGACACTTTTGGAGGGAGAAAAAAAATCAAACGTTATGTTTTATGAGGAGATATTAAGGTTTTCTATAATGAAAGCAGAGCTCTTGTTAATTTGCCTTTCCTGACTCCAGAGACTAGGTCTTATCCATTTCCATATTCCTGTAGTGGCTCATCTGCCATAAATGCTCCCCAGGTAGCAGGCCTTAAAGACACATAATGTCCAGCAAATGTCATAGTGGGAGGAGTGGAGTTAGAAGTCAAGACACTTGGAAGTAAACTCATAAGGCTGCTAATATCTGCATGACCGCAAATAATTTCAACTCTGAATCTTAATATTTGTACCTTTTAATTTAATTTTTGGTTTAATGCAGTTCTGATAGTATGGTATTCTCTCCCCTTCATCTTCTCTCCCTCCAGCATTTTCTCCTCCTGCCTTTCTCTCTTCATCGCTTCATTTTTGTGATAGGAAATTCTTCACCTTTAATAAGTAAGTGTTGCATTAGGCTGTGTCTGAGGTTTGTGCCTGTCTTAAAAGTCTGCTTCGGAGTGGGGGTGTTTGCTTCGTGGTTAGGACGCTGCATCCCCAGTTCCAGCCTTGGCACTTACGGAATTAACCAGCCCTAACACATGCCATTGTATCTGCATGTCACTTTCCTGTAAGAGCCCAATTGATGTTTGTAACAAAGTGACAGTAAGGGCTGTTAGTGTGTGTAAGGGTGGTAGAATGGGGAGTTACAGTGTCGGGAAAATACCTGCAGGTGATTCCATTTGTTCTTTGTAAAATGCCAGTCTTAAAATGTGAAACCCAAAAGGAAAAGTTACTGTAAAGCTGTAGGAAAATTAACAGACACCTGAATACTGGGTACCTTTGGGTACAATCATGTTTGAATTTTTAACCTTGAACTTGATTTGGATAAAGTCATATTTTGTGAAGATACTAAAAGTTCTGAGGAACACAATCCCAGGCTTCAATTTCCTTGAACAGTTCCTTTGTCATTCATTAGATTAAGCTGCCTTTCTGTTTTCAAATACAGCCAGTTCATCTTCTATGTAGATTCCCAATACTGTAGGGATTAAAAGTCACTCATAGCTTTGTTGTGTAGAAGAGACACATTTCACCAACAAAAATCAGCAGAAACTATATCACATGGGTTTTGATGTTTTCTATTAGTTTCTTCTCTTCAAAACACTTTCTGATTAAATTCTTCAATGACTCATAGATCATACAGTAACATCATTTTCTGCAAGAAGGTTCTTGATTTTCATTTCTTCAGCCACATGTTAGTCATTTAGTAGCATGTTATTTAACTTCATGGTGTTGTTGATTTCTTTTTTCTTCCTGATGTTAATTTTGTTTTGTGGCTTTTCATTTAAGGGGATGTATAGTAGTTGTGCAGTGGAGGCTGTCATATCTAGTAACATGTCATTTAACTTCATGGCATTGTAAATTTCTATTTTTCTTTCTATTGTTGATTTTGTATTATGACTTTTCATTTGAGTGGATATGCAGTAGCTGTGAAATGGAGACTAACAAATCCAGATGTGAGGATACAATGTAGTATGCATTTCTACTTCCAGACAAAGATGGACTTACAATGCAACTGTTTACTATATCTTGACAATAGGATTCTGGACTCTGCCATTGTCCATGCCCACAATAATGGACTTATGACTGTGTATGAAGAACTATACTTTAGTAATGATGTAGAGGAACTAGGTGGGGGGGGGTGGATTAGGGCTGGGATAAGAGAGCCTATTTACCAGGAGCCCATGGAACTGTATCATAAAATGATGATAATAGTAATAGTAATAATAATAATAAAATATAAAATTTAAAAAAAGGAAGTTTACTGCTGTGACTAATATCACCACCACCATTATTATCATAGTAGAATTGCAGATGCATAAGAAAAACAAAGACCTAAGACTAGGGAATGATGGGAGAAAAGTTGAAAGAAACATAACACCGAAATACAAATATTTTCCCCCTTTTGGTGGAAGTAGGCAACTCCAGAGGGATCAAAGTGGTTTAATGTTTGAGACGAGGTATCTGCTTTGTGAGAAATAACTTGTCTACCTTCTTTGGAGATGCCATTTTAGCAAAATAAGCAAGACAGAAGGTAGGTGTCAGGACTAAAAAATGAATAGACATGAGAAAATGACAGAGAGGAAGAGAGAGGGGGAACAAGATACAGAGTGATATAAAACATGTTTGCTTAGTAAACTTTCAAATTGGCCCATACTTCCAAAAAAAGGAAGAAAGAAAGGGAGGGAAGGAGGAAAGAGAGAGAGGAAAGGAAGGAAGGAGAGAGGGAGGGAAAGAAGGAAGGAAGGAGAGAGGGAAAAAGGGAGGAAGGAAGGAAGGAAGGAGAGAGGGAAGGAAGGAAGGAAGAAAGGAAGGAAGGAAGGAAGAAGGAAGGAGAGGGAAGGAAGGAGAGAGGGAAGGAAGGAGAGCGGAGAGGAAGGAAGGAAGAAAGAAGAAGAAAGGTAGAAAGAAAGAAAGAGAGGGAGAGAAAGAACCAATGCTGGGGAATGATAAATCAAAAACTTGTATGTCTTTTTTATATGCATTTCTCTGGTATGAATTAAATTATTAAAATCTGTGTATAAGTGGCAGTAACTTGCTGAGGGGTAACTGAAAAATTTTAACAACCAACTAAAGAGGGCTTCTCGGCATGGCCTAGCGGCTAAAGTCCTCGCCTTGAACGCACCAGGATCCCATATGGGCGCCAGTTCTGATCCTGGCGGCCCTGCTTCCCATCCAGCTCCCTGCTTGAGGCCTGTGAAGGCAGTCAAGGACAGCCCAAAGCTTTGGGACCCTGCACCCGTGTGGGAGACCCGGAGGAGGTTGCTGGTTCCCGGCTTCATATCAGCGCAGCACCGGCCGTTGCTGTCATTTGGGGAATGAATCATAGGACGGAGGATCTTCCTGTCTCTCCTCCTCTCTGTATATCTGACTTTGTAATAAAAATAAATAAATCTTTAAAAAAAAAAAAAAACCAACTAAAGGGTAGTGACCTTTATCCAAATCAAAACAAAACGCAAAGCTTCTGGTTCCAAAAATAATAGTTGTAAGTTTGGGAAATGGGATGTATCAACTTAGTAAAGTATCATTGTAAGTTGAAATGATACTGCCTGGCTTGACTTTAGCATTGAGAATTTTCTTAAGAGCAATAGTAGGGCCCGGTGGTGTGGCCTAGCAGCTAAAGTCCTTGCCTTGAACACGCTGGGATCCCATATGGGCGCTGGTTCTAATCCCGGCAGCTCCACTTCCCATCCAGCTCCCTGCAGTCAAGGATGGCACAAAGCCTTGGGACCCAGCACCTGTGTGGGAGACCTGAAGGAAGTTTCTGGTTCCCGGCTTCCTCCTCTCTGTATATCTGACTTTGTAATGAAAAAATAAATAAATGTTTAAAAAAAAATAAAAGAGCAGTAGTAAGCTCGGCCTTCCTTTGTACTGACTTACAGACAGCCATTTCATAAAGTACATATAAATTTCCATGGGTTGTGATTGGAGGTGCTCCTGTGACGTGAAGCCAAGTGAGCCTAGATCCTCAGACTGCAAACTGCAGTGGTAAGGAAGAACGGGGAATGGAGGCTGAGGACCGTTGGGGTTGCAGTTCCAGTTTGCCATTCAGTGGCCGTACGTTTTTGAAAAAGCTGTTGGATTCTCCTTTTTAGTCCCATGGGAATTGTGGACATACTTACATGACAAACTTAAAATACAGAAGAATATCCTTGGCTCCTGCTTTGTGATCAAAGACACTGGGGTTCTTTCTTGAAGTCTGTCTAATGTTTTGACTCTGCCAGTTGGCTATTTTGACTTTGGCAGTCAGTATTAAAACTGTCAAACCTTAGCCTTGTCAGCACAATCTTGGTATCTGTAACTCATTGACTTTGACTGTGAGTGCACCTACTATACACTTCATCAGTGTTGAGTGGCATGCCAGATTCCAGAGAGACAGCGATGAGTAAGACCTGGCCTGAGGCAGCTTTCAGTCTAAAGGAGGTGACAGACATAGAATAGATAATGTGGCACAGTGTACCACA